GGAATAATATTCACTCTGTAGGACTTTTCTAGCTGTTAAATGTGATAATCCATATAAAGACCTCAGTACAGTATTTGGCATTGAGTAAATGCTCAGAAATTGTTATTAAATTTGTATTAAAATTGGAGATTCAAGACAGAAATAATGAGTAGAAAAGACCCCATTGGACATCAACATCCTATATAATAAAAGGGTAATATGAAAATTGACCCTAACAGCAGAACGACTGGGAATGACTGGTCACTATGCCACACACTCACCACCAGGGGGCAGATGCTCAATGCGGGAACTGCCCCCGGTGGCCAGTGCGCTCCCACAGGGGGAGCACCACTCAGCCAGAAGCCCTGAGCTGCGGCAGCGCTAAGGATGTCCGACTGACAGGATGTATTCTTGACTCCTGGCTATTTTTCAGGGGGTCTTTGTATATCCTACCGCCAAATCCTTCACTGTCAGCTCCCAGGGTCTTGGGTTGTGGCCTGCCCAGCACTGAGTATGGGCTCTGCAGCAGTGACTACTGGGCAGCCGGCAGCATTAGGGGGGCTCTGGCTCATTCCTCTGGTGGCTGGGGATCTTGGCTGTCCCCAGGGCCTGGCCCTGCCTTGGGGTAGGAGTAGTAGCTACCCAGGCTTCAGTGGGAGGCTGGGCTTTACCCCCCGGGGCCTGTGCTTCGCAGACAGATCTTGGAGGTGCCCTGGCGGGAGCAGACTTTCCTGGTGCTGCAGTCACTCCTGGAGCGGCAGGTGAGCAGGCTGCCTTGGGGAAGAGGACAGAGAAGCGCTGCAGGGCTGTGGACGGGCGTGGGGCGCCCGCCGGTCCGATCCCTTTGGTGATGGAGGGTCAGGTAGGCCAGCTGCCCTGCAGCAGGGTGCCCCATGACTGTGGGAGCGTCCTGGGGCCTCAAAGGCTGGTCGCAGAGAGCTGACTCCATGGTAAATCTGTCTCTGCCTCTTCCTGGCTCTGTGGCCTTGGGGAGCAACGTTCTGATATGTGCGTTTCAATTAAGTTGTACTTCCCCTGGCTGGTAGTTCAGTGGTTAGAGCACCTACCTGGGCTGGAGGCTCGATCCGTGGCTCCACTTGTGGGAGGCAACCAATCGGTGTGTCTCTCTCATGTCAATGTTTCTCTCCCTTCCACTCTCTCTAAAAAGCAATGGAAAAATATCCCTGGGTGAGGATGAACAAAATAAATAAATAGTTTTCTTGTTGAATAGGTAATGAATTCATATCTTCACAATTTTAGAAGCTCAAAGAGGGAATAGTGAAAAATATTCCCCAGCCATCTACATGCCCTTCCCCGGGGTGAACCAGCGTTGTCAGCTTCAGGGGACCCTCCCAGAGATGCTTGTATTTACAAGGACACGTGTACAGATGTACTTTTCCTTTGTTTCTTGCACAGATGGTAACACCACGCTCAGAGCGCTGTATCTGCTTTATTCACTTCATATATATTTTGGCAATTTTCCCATCAGTACTTAAGATTCTGCCTCATCTGTTTTAACTTAGGTGATGGCCTAACCTCTCTCTGTCTAAGTTTCCTCATCTAAAGGGGAGTGATGATAGCACCCACCACACAAGACGGGTGAGGTTTAAGTGGGATAACTGGTGTGAAGTGCTCAGAGTGGTGCCTGATGCATAATAATGTTTATTAAGTTATTATTATGAAGAGCTATTGTTATGCTGGCAGTGCCGCCCTCTATGTCTTCAAGCACTGATCCAGGCTAGGGATCCTTGGCTCCCTTGGTCCTAATCAGACTTTGCAACGCTAGCCGCCATTTTCGGAGACCTGTGCGCAGGCTTTCTGTGCATTATCTCATTTAATCCCTTTCACAGGCTTCAGAGTGAGATTTTATGAGCCCCATTTTACAGAGGTGGACACTGAGGCTTAGTTTGGTTAAGTGATCTGCATAGGGTCACCCGGTTAGGAAGTGGTAAGAGTTGGGAAGTGAATGCAAGGCCTGTTCTTGTGCTGCTCTTCCCCCTCCCGATGTGTGCAGGTGGAGATGACCCCCGAGAAGTTCAATGTGTTGATGGACAGGCTCTGCAAAGAGGGGCCGGCCACCACTGCGTCCATGGCCTATGCCAAACTCATGCTGACAGTGATGAACAAGTATCAGGCCAATGTGAGTGCTGATGGGACCATGAGGGCTGCCCTGCTGCCTGGAACCTGCCATGACGGTCTACATCTGTTTGCCAGGGAGAAAACCCTGAATGTTAGCCAGGGAACCCACAAGTTCAAGCCTGGGACTAGGCAGTGAGACTGCTCATCCAGCCAACACCGCTGTGGGCCAGATGCCATATGGGAATCAACAGTGACCATATCACAGTCCTTGTCCTTAACTTGACCCTCTCCCCTAACACCGGGCTAGCACGAGGGGTAGGAGAGATGATAAACAGATCATTATAATATCCAGTAGGAGTCAGGTGAGAGTATACTTGGGGCTTTTGAGGACAGAGCAAGAGGGGGCAACTAAACCTTTTGATTTGGAACAGGCCTGTTGACTCTTAAAAGGTGAGTGGTAGTCAAAGGCTGAGGTGGAGGAAAGGGCATTCCAGGCAAAGGAAACAGTGTAAGCAGTGAATGTCTGAGGGGTACAGGTAGTTCATTGTAGCTGAGGCCTAAAAGTATGAGAGTTGATGGTGGTAGGGAGGAGGTTAGAGCTCTAAAATACCAAGAGCTAATACTTGCATAGCCCCTGCTACATCTTGGGCACCATTCTAAGCCCTTATATATGTTAACTCTCCTGTTTACTCCACGCATTAGCACTATGAGAAGATCTATTATTAGCTTCGTTTTATAGATAAGGAAGTTGAGACTCAGGTAGATGTAACTTGTCCAAGGTCACACTGCCAGGCCACGATAGCATCTCTTAGGGGCCCTGTAAGTTATTGTGAGAAACGTGACTTGATCTTGAAGGCCAGGTATTCTTGGCAGTTGGCCCTTTACCCTTTTCTTGCGAGTCACAGGCCCATTTGATGATTTGATGAAAGCTATAGCTCCTCCCTGGAAAATGAATATGTGAACACACATCTTAGGAACACGTATAGGAGACTGGGTCCTGGAAGGCGGGCCTCCGGTATGAGGCCTCGGGAGTTATCCCAGGGCCTTCAGCTGGAGGGACGGGGTCAGATTTGCATTTTGTAGAGAAACCTCTGGCCTCTGGAAGGAGGAGGGATTGGAGGGAAGATGCAGGGTGGAGACCTGCCGGGAGGTTGTAGCAACAGGTCAGGGAAGAAGTGTGGCCCAGGAGGAAGGGGGCAGCGCCGTTTCCTGTGTAGCCGGGAGGGTTGTGAGAGTTTATGAACTAATGCATGTAACGTGCTGCCGCGTAGGGAGCACTCAGCTGTCAGCTGTTACCCTGTGGCTGGCTTAGTGATGGGCAGTATGTGGCCCAGGTCCACCTGAATCCAAAGACAGCGAAATCATGAGTTCGATTGCTCGGGGGGTCCTTGCCTTCTTCCATCGTCCTCACCCCGGATTCCTCTCCTTTCTGAACAGGCGGGGGGTCACACGGGAGGGGAGGGATCAGCTGCCAGAGTCCTGACATTCTTCCTTCTGCCTAGATCACTGAGACCCAGAGACTGAGCCTGGCCGCCCCCCTGTTGCTCAACACCACTTTCCTGAGGAAGTCCCTGCAGGCCGCCCTGAGACATCTGGCCCCCTGACCTTCCACCCAGGGACACCAGCTTCCTGAAGGACACTCTGCCCTCACCCTGACCCTGGCCTGGGGTGAAGGCCGAACCTGGCCGTTCAGGCATCAACTGCCTCCCTGTTCCAGGCTGCAGAGAGGCCGTCTTGACCTCCCAGCCAGCAGGGAGGGTACAGGCCGAGGGGGCTGGATGAGCTGGTTTCCAATGGCTGCTGACCCTGGCTCACTCCTTGTCACTTCTGCCTCAGGCTTCGGCAACCAGCTCTCCTATAAGCCCAGCAACGTCACAGCAGACCCCTGTGAGCGAGTGATGCTCGGGGGACCCCTGTGCTTAGCACTCCGCACAGATCTCTTGTGCTGCAGTGCGTGTTATGATCCCCTGAATTGTTCTGACTTGAAGAATAATTTATCAATGGCATTTAATAAAAACCAGGAAGTTCAATAACGTGTCATTGGAAGCTGTGGCTGCCTTCCTATTAGCTCTGGTATTTGTTGAAAATTAACTCACCCCCACCCCTACCACCACTCCGCCTGCGCAGTGACAAGGGGTATCTTTCCCCAGTGAAACGTTCTGAGGGAGGTGGTACAGTTCGGAGGTTCATTCATTCAGTTCTGTGGGCCAGAGAGCCTGTGCTACCACCCACCCAACCCAATTAGCTGATGGGTAGGGGCGCGGCTTAGAGGTGGGAGGGTCTGCAATTGGGGAAGGCTTTTGGGGGGAAGACATTTGCGTAGGGATAGACTCCTGGGTTACTGTGGGCAGAGGAGGATGGGCCTGTTGAACAGGAAAGGGCAGAGGGGTGTCAACACTGCGGCCGTCTGTCTGACACCTTCATATTCCCATGGCCCTAGCGAGGCGCCCCGTCCGTAGGAAACGGCCGGTGGGTGCTACAGAGGAAGCAACTGCGGGGTGAAGGTTCATCACAGTGCTTTCCAGCGCTTCCCCGCTGCAGGCTTCCAGGGCCAAGAACACAGCTTTACCCACGAGTCCCTTCCCGCAACTCCCTGGGAAGCCGCGAGCCCGCCCGCACCCCCGCCGCTTAGAGCGAGATGAGGGAGAGGGCGGGAGTGAAGCCTGCTTGTGCGGCAGGTGCCTGAGGAAGTGGGCAGAGGAAGTCTGGGGGCAGACGTGCAGGAATCACCCTCTCCGCGGCCGTTACAATGCGCCTGAAGCTCAAGCCCTGGACCTGGCCGCTTTCTTACTAGCCTAGCAGCTGCTGGCGCAAAACGCAAAACGGGGTTGTCGGAGGGTGCCCCGGGGCGCAGCCCATCGGCGCCCTCCAGCGGCCGCAGACGGCGGCGCGCCCGGGGGTGGAGCGACCGACTGCGCTCGCCGGGGAAGCCGCAAGGTATCTCTCGCGAGAACAAGACCCGTATTTGAGCGCATGCGCGAACTGAGTTAGTCTCTTTTCCGGTTTTTGCGGCGCGAGGAACTATGAGGTGAGTGACATGTGGGGCGCTATCCGTTTGCATCCGCACCTCGGACGCCCCGGTGGGGATGGAGACCCTACGGGCGGCATCGGGGGTCCTTGCCCTTCCTTGGCTGCGGGGCATTGCCGGTCGGCCGCCGTCGGAACCCTCTTTGCGCGGCCTGCATCTGGTTCTCGGACTCACTCCGAACTGGGGTCCAGATCCCCCAGCCGCTCCGGCCACGCCGAGGGTGTCGGCCCGCGGCGCCGGGCCTGAGCGCCGGTCCTGCTTCCCTCTTGCAGCAGCAAAGTCTCCCGCGACACCCTGTACGAAGCGGTGCGGGAGGTCCTGCACGGGAACCAGCGCAAGCGCCGGAAGTAAGCCGGGTCCGCCGGGGGCGGGCGCGGGCGGGCCGGGGCCCCGGCGTCCGGCTAACTGGCACTTTCCCTAAGGTTTTTGGAGACGGTGGAGCTGCAGGTCAGCCTGAAGAACTATGACCCTCAGAAGGACAAACGCTTCTCGGGCACCGTCAGGTTGGCACCGCTCTGACCCCACCCAGCCCCCGTGCCCCGCTCTGCCCTCGGGGCTCCTGTTGCGCCCGAGGCGGGCAGACGCGCGGCACTGGCGAGCCCGGGTAGTCCGGACCCCCTGCTCCGGGCAGGCGCGGCCGGGCGGACCCCCACCCTGGGTCTTAAAACAAGAGGGGAGGCGTGGGGAGGCCTCGGCCGAGCCCGCCGGCTAGTTTGAGAGCCAGACTAGCTGCTGGCGAACGCGGACGCTCTGGGTAAGGCTCTGGCTGCCGCGGCCCCGGGCCCGTCCACCCGCCTGGACACCCACGCGGGGCATGACCTGCTCTGTCCCCAAAACGCAGGCTGAAGTCCACGCCCCGCCCCAAGTTCTCCGTGTGCGTGCTGGGGGACCAGCAGCACTGCGACGAGGCCAAGGCCGTGGACATCCCGCACATGGACATCGAGGCGCTGAAGAAGCTCAACAAGAACAAGAAGCTGGTCAAGAAGCTGGGTGGGTGGGGCGGGGTGAGGGGGCCGTTCTGGGGGCGAGGAGAGCGGTGCTCAGACCATTGGGCTTTAAAGTGAGGAGAGGGTAGAATTGTGGCCAAAAGGCTGTGCTGCGGTTGGCTAGGTTGATTTGGGAAAGTTCTTTTCCTATTTGCTTCGAGGGTTGAACTTTGGGCGGGAAAGAGGAGGCGGCGGCCTCTAGGTGGTTCAAACCCACGGTCTCCGTTCAGTTGTCTAGTCAGGTGCTGGTGTTCTGAGTTGGAATTTCTAGTTCAAGGTCCAATTTAATTTCCTCTGAGGCTCTGGCCTACAGTTGTCATGTAGCGAGAGGTGGGAAGGCAGGATTAGCCAGTGTTTTGCGTTGCCACATGGGTTGTGGGTCGGCCTGGCCTCTGATAGCAGATCTTAGGGGAATGTTGGGCCAGTACAAGTTCAGAGGGTGGAGACCCCCGAACTGGAGTGAGGAAGGGGTTGCAGAGTTGGTCCTGTGCTGGGTTGGGGTACAGAGTTCGTTTGGAGGCTGGCCTCCCAATGGCTTATTCTCCTCACCAGCCAAGAAGTACGATGCCTTTCTGGCTTCAGAGTCTCTGATCAAGCAGATCCCACGAATCCTGGGCCCCGGCCTGAATAAGGCCGGCAAGTTCCCTTCCTTGTTGACCCACAATGAGAACATGGTGGCCAAAGTGGATGAGGTGAAGTCCACCATCAAGTTCCAGATGAAGAAGGTAAGTTAGGCCACGGTCATGGGAGCCCAGCTCGCCTTTCTGTGATCCTCCGGACATGTGATTGTCGCTGAGCAGGGCTGAAGCTGGTCAGCCTGGGCCCAAGCACTGCTCGCTGGGGGGGACGGGCCATGCCATCTGCCACCAGCCTGACTGACCGTCCTCTGCCCACAGGTGCTGTGTCTGGCGGTGGCTGTGGGCCACGTGAAGATGACGATCCCACGAATCCTGGGCCCCGGCCTGAATAAGGCCGGCAAGTTCCCTTCCTTGTTGACCCACAATGAGAACATGGTGGCCAAAGTGGATGAGGTGAAGTCCACCATCAAGTTCCAGATGAAGAAGGTAAGTTAGGCCACGGTCATGGGAGCCCAGCTCGCCTTTCTGTGATCCTCCGGACATGTGATTGTCGCTGAGCAGGGCTGAAGCTGGTCAGCCTGGGCCCAAGCACTGCTCGCTGGGGGGGACGGGCCAAGGCAGGGCCATGCCATCTGCCACCAGCCTGACTGACCGTCCTCTGCCCACAGGTGCTGTGTCTGGCGGTGGCTGTGGGCCACGTGAAGATGACAGATGATGAGCTTGTGTACAACATCCACTTAGCTGTCAATTTCCTGGTGTCATTGCTCAAAAAGAACTGGCAGAACGTTCGGGCCTTGTACATCAAGAGCACCATGGGCAAGCCCCAGCGCCTGTACTGAGGCCCCACTAATAAACCATACTGCCCTGCGACCTCTTGTCTGCCTGTGACTGGGGGAGGGGCGAGGGCAGGGCCAGGGCTCCAGCCTGTTGCTCCCTGGTGTCAGAAGTTCATTTGGGGTCCTGGTCCATAGGGTCACAGCTGTTACAAATGAAGTTTGGGTTCCTAGGTGTTGCTGATGGGAATAATCCACAAAACCTGAGAAATTGGTCTAATACATTGGAACCTTGGTTCTTGAACTAATTCATTCATGAGGACTGTTCAAGAAGCAATTTGTTCACATTGTATGCGGGAAACATGTTTTACATTGACTGTAGGTAGTAGAGCGTGGGACACATTACACTTTTTATAGACTAGCGGTAGAACGCGTAAAGTTATCGTAATTTTACTGAACATTGCCATTTGCGCAAAAAATTAGCAAAAATGGCACGTGCCACCTGTTAGCGCACAATAAAAGCTACCTGCAAACAATGTGTTAACCAAGCTTCTCCCCATTAGACAAACATTTATCAAACCACCCCCACTAGCCTTAAACAAATAACTTTCAGCACTCATTCTGTGTGGTGCAGCGCTTTTGCTGTTCCACATTTGTCTGCAAAATGGGTAGGATCAGGCTGCAGAAACTTCCAGGCCCTAACCTGCCCCTTTCCCTTACCTATTGGTGCCAGTGACTTGGTATACTGGGAAGTACCTGTGATTAAACCTTTCACTTGAATCTGCTTCATTTAACTTTGGTAAATAAAGGCCAGCTCAAACCACCAGTTTTTTAAATATAGCCAGAACCCATCCACCAGTTTATTTCGGAGAAGTGAGAAGCACCCATGGGCTGCTTCCTGCACATTTCCTTTTGGTG